ACCAATATCCTTGATGAACATGGATGTAAAAATTCTCACCAAGATACTAGGCAGTAGGATCCAACAGTACATTAAAAGGATTATTCCACCACGACCAAGTGGGATTTATTCCTGGACTGCAAGGGTGGTTCAAAATCCACATATCAATCAATGTGATACATCACATTAATAAAAGGTTAAGAATCAAAGGATAAGATATCTTCCTGTCAATAGATGCAGAAAAAGCACTTGACAAAATACAGCATTCTTTCCTGATTAAAAAAAACCTTCCAGAATGTAGGGATAGAAGGAACATACCTCAACATCATAAAGGTCATATACAAAACACCCACAGCTAATATCATCCTCAATGGGGAAAAACTGAGAGCTTTTCTCCTAAGGTCAGGAACATGACAGGGATGTTCACTCTCACCACTGTTGTTCAACATAGTACTGAAGTCCTAGCCTCAGCAATCAGACAACAAAAAGAAATAAAAGACATCCAAATTGGCAAGGAAGAAGTCAAACTTTCACTCTTCACAGATGACATGATACTCTATTTAGAAAAATCGAAAGACTCCACCAAAAAATTGCTAGAACTAATACATGAATTCAGCAAATTTGCAGGATAGAAAATCAACATACAGAAATCTGTTGCATTTCCATACACCAATAATGAAGCAGCAGAAAGAAAAATCAAGGAATTGATCCCATTTACAACTGCACCAAATACTATAAGATACCTAGGAATAAAACCAACTGGAGAGGTAAAAGATCTGTACTCTGAAAACTACAGAACACTTATGAAAGAAACTGAAGATGACACCAAAAAAAATGGAAAAACATTCCATGCTCATGGATTGGAAGAACAAATACTGTTAAAATGTCTACGCTACCCAAAGCAGTCTGCACATACAATGCAATCCTTATCAAAATAACACCAGTATTTTTTCACAGAGCTATAACAAAGAATTCTAAAATTTGTATGGAACCAGAAAAGACCCCAAATAGTCAAAGGAATGTTGAAAAAGAAAAGCAAAGCTGGAGGCATCACAATTCCAGACTTCAAGCTGGATTATAAAGCTATAATCAACAAGACAGTATGGTACTGGCATAAAAACAGACACATAGATCAAAGGAATAGAATAAAGAACCCAGAAACAGACCCTCAAGTCTATGGTCAACTAATCTTCAACAAAGCAGAAAAGACTATCCAACGGAAAAGAGTCTCTTCAAACAAATGGTGTTTGGAAAACTGGACAGCAACATGCAGAAGAATGAAACTGGACTACTCTCTTACACCATACACAAAAAGAAATGCAAAATGGATGAAAGACCTAAATGTGAGACAGGAATCCATCAAAATCCTAGAGGAGAGCACAGGAAGAAACCTCTTTGACCTTGGCCGTAGCAACTTCTTACTAGACACATCTCTAAAGGCAAGGGAAACAAAGGCAAAAATGAACTAATTGGGACTTCATCAAGATAAAAAGCTTTTGCACAGCAAAGGAAACAATCAACAAAACAGAATGGGAGCAGACTGTTGCAAATGACTATCAGATAAAGGGCTAGTATCTAAAATCCATAAAGAACTTATCAAACTCAACACCTAAAAAATAAATAATCCAGTTAAGAAATGGACAGAAAACATGAACAGACATTTCTCCAAAAAAGACATCCAAATGGCCAACAGACACATGAAAAGATCAGGGAAATACATATCAAAACCACAATGAGATACCACCTCACACCTGTCAGAATGGCTAAAATTAATTCAGGAAACAAAAGATGTCAGTGAGGATGCAAAGAAAGGAGAACCCTCTTGCAATGTTGGTGGAAATGCAAACTGATGCAGCCACTCTGGAGAACAGTAGGGAGGGGTTCCTCAAAAAGTTGAAAATAGAACTACCCTATGATCCAGCAATTGCACTGCTAGGTATTTATCCAAGGATAGAAACACTGTGATTTGAAAGGGCACATGCACCCCAATGTTTATAGCAGCACTATGAACAATAGCCAAATTATGGAAAGGGCCCAAATGTCCATTGACTCATGAATGGACGAAAAAGATGTGGTTTATATAAATATACATGATGGAATATTACTCAGCCATCAAAAAGAATGAAATCTTGCCATTTGCGATGACATGGATGGAACTAGAGGATACTGTGCTAAATGAAATAAATCAGAGAAAGACAAATACCATATGATTTCACTCGTATGTGGAATTTAAGAAACAAAACAGATGAACATAGGTGAAGGGAAGGAAAAATAAGATAAAAACAGAGAGGGAGACAAACCGTAAGAGACTCTTAACTACAGAGAACAAAGTGAGTGTTGCTGGAGGGGAGGTGGGTGGGGGGATGGGCTAAATGGGTGATGGGCATTAAGGAGGGCACGTGATGTAATGAGCACTGGGTGTTACATGCAACTATGAATCACTGAACTCTACCTCTGAAACTAATAATATGCTATATGTTAATCAACTGAATTTAAATAAAGTCTTGGAAGAAAAATGAATATTAAAAACAAATTTGAGAAAGAAGAATAGAGTAGAAGGAATCATACTACCTGATTTTAAGAGGTATCATAAAGCTACCATAATCAAGACAGTGTGATATTGAAAAAACAGGTAGATCAATGGAGCACAATACAGAGTCTAGAAATAGACACACACAAATGTAGACAATTGATTTTTGGCAAGTTTGCAAAGGCTATTCAATGGAGAAAGCATCGTCTTTCAAAAACTGATGCTAAAACAACTGGACATCTATATGCAACAAAATTAACATTGACCTAAACCTCACATCTTATACTAAAATTAACTCAAGATGTCTTGACACTGAAAACATTGTACATAAAAAAAAAAACCTGATAAACTGGAATTTCTCAAAATTAAAACTTTTGCAGTATGAAAAACACTATTAAGAGAATATAAGACATGCTACAAGTAGGAGAATACATTTGAAAATCACATATCTGACAAAGCACTAGTATTCAGAATATTTAAAGCACTCTCAAAATCTGCTAGCAAGAAAACAAACAATCCAACAAAAACATGGGCAAAAGACTTGGACATTTCTCAAAGAAGTATGTATATGGATGGCAAGTAAGCACACAAAAAGATGTTCAACAACAGTCATTAGGGAAATGCAAATTAAAATCACACTGTGACACCACTACATATCTATATGAATGGCTAAAAGTGAACATCATTGATAATACCTAGTGCTGGCAAGATAAGAAACAACTAGAACAATTTGGCCTGCACTTACCACATTACTCCTGATTACATTTATACAGAAATCTGTACATGAATATTTATAGAGGCTCTACTCATAATTACTCAAAACTGGAAACAACCCAAGTATCCTTCAATGGGTGAGAATGGATATATATATTAAGGTACATCCATACAATAAACTACTACTCATCCATCAAAAGGAACAGACTATTGACATAAGCAACAATTTGGATGAATCCCAAAGGTATTATGCTGAATGAAAGAAGCTAGTCTCAAAAAACTATATGCACGTTCTATGACTATTTATAGGACACTCCAGAAAAGGTAAATCTACAGTGATAGAAAACAAATCAACAGCTGCTAAGAGTTGAGGACGTGGGAAGACTATGATTACAGAGTGGTAGCACCAGGGAGGTTTTTCAGGTGATGGAACCATCCTGCATCCTGATTACAATGATGGTTACACAAATCTATGCATGTTTTAAAGCTGCTAAGAACAATACACCAGAGGATCATAGGGGAAGGGAAGGAAAAATGAAACAAGACAAAACCAGAGAGGGGGACAAACCATAAGAGACTCTTAATCTCAGGAAACAAAATGAGGGTTGCTGGAGTGGAGGGGAGTGGGAGGGATGGGGGTGCTGGGAGATGGGGGTGCAGGGTATGTGCTATGGTGAGCGCTGCGAATTGTGTAAGACTGATGAATCACAGACCTGTACCCCTGAAACAAATAATACATTATAAGTTAATAAAAAAAAAGAACAATACACCAGAATAAAGTCAATTTCACTGTTAATTTAAAAAGAAAGAAATACTGGGCGCCTGGGTGGCTCAGTTGGTTAAGCGACTGCCTTCAGCTCAGGTCATGATCCTGGAGTCCTAGGATCGAGTCCCGCATCGGGCTCCCTGCTCGGCAGGGAGTCTGCTTCTCCCTCTGACCCTCCTCCCTCTCATGCTCTCTGTCTCTCATTCTCTCTCAAATAAATAAAATCTTTAAAAAAAAAAAAAAAAAGAAAGAAATACTAACACTAGAGAAAACAAAAGTCATTCAGGAAGGAAAAAGTTGCCGCAGCATACTACCTGTTGATAGCATTTATGGTTATAATGTAAATACTGAATGGTGATCTAATGGAAAGGGTGGTACAATGACATTAGTAAGATGGGGGACCAGGGACAAAAAGGATACATGTGTGTGTGGTGGGGCAAAGGGATGAAAAGAGAAGTAAACCTTCCTCTTTCCCAGAGGGACGTAAAACTGAAAACTCAGGAAATAACAACATACGCATGTTATATAGTGAAACACACAGAGGTAAATCCCAAAAGCAGCCCCTGAAAGAGATGAAAATGGTTGCCCTGTGAAATACAAAATGTAGAGGAAGGGGTTATGGGGCACTCTAAGCTATATGTACATAAACATTAGGTTAAAATAAAAATAAAATACATCCTCCGAAAAAGCTGTCAATATTTTTCCTGTTGTGTTCTGATATTGTATCTCAGTACTAGTTTCTAATCACTACATAATTCTTGAAGACTGCCCGAAGCAACGAGATAGAAACTAACACATCAAAGCCAGATAATGCCTTTCATTTTTTGTGATCAAGGCTATGTTGCTTCAACTTTGGTGTTAGTGACTGCTGAAGAGAAAATGTAATCCACCTGTGAAAGATTCTCTGATGGCAGTAAAAGCAGAATTTAAAGAGCTATTTTATTCCCGTCCCCTTCACTTATGAATTAAGTATATGAATTACATTTTTAAAAAACTCTTTCCTTCTCCTACCTCATTTTCTTCCTTCAGATCCTTTAGCTCTGGGATGGACCACTTTGGATCTTCTTCACAGCGCTTATCTTGGGTTTTCAAAGAATTGAATTCAGAATCCTTTAATGGCTCCTTTAATTCAGATTTAAGGTGAGTGAAAGCCTTTTCATCATTAATATCTTGCTAGTAGATATGAAAGAGAAATTATTTTATTTTCCATATTAATGCTGTTTCTAAAATCTGCATGCCTATACATTCTGGGAGGAATTTTTCACTATGGTTCATACGGATGCTACATTATTTTCTAACTTTATCCGTGACCCCACATCTTCCTATCCTGCTAAACTAGTTCAAGCCAACAAACATTTACTGAGCACACGTTATGAAATGTGTACAGGGTAGCTCTGTGGATATAAAGATGAATGCAGGGGTCCCTGGGTGGCTCAGTAGTTAAGCGGCTGCCTTCGGCTCAGGTCATGATCCCGGGGTCCCAGGATCGAGCCCCGCATCGTGCTCCCTGCTCCGCGGGAAGCCTGCTTCTCCCTCTCCCACTCCCCCTGCTTGTGTTCCCTCTCTTGCTGTGTCTCTGTCAAATAAATAAATAAAATCTTTAAAAAAAAAAAAAAAAGATGAATGCAGCATGTTGCAGCCCTAAAGGAACTCAAAATATAGCAGGAAGACACACAATCAGATAATCACTGTACAACCTTCAGTGTAGAGCCATCACAGAGATATGACCAAAATATTGCTGGAGAGGAAGATGCCTTAAAAAGTTGCAATGAAGGAGGTAACACAAACTGCTGGATGCTTAAAAGAAGAGTAGGAATTACAGAGAACGGAGTATATAGAGGTAGGCAGTGGATGGGTAAGTGTGTATGTGTATGAAGCCCATGGGATACAAGCTGTGGTGGGATACAAGAATTTTAAGTCTTATCTCTTTTGCAGAAACGATGGCTTTGTTTCATTTTTGAGACTGAACTATGATTGTTTGAACACATAACACAGTGATGATAGGATATTCTAAAAATTGTAAAGGCTGTACTCAAATCACTATTTAAGAATCAGAAAATATAATTATTCCAATCAAGTAATAATGATTAAGAAAAATTCAGGCTTCAGAAAGTGTTATGGGCCAAAGGAGCCTAATTAATTTTAACATAAACTAGAAATCTAACATCCTTATATTGTTTCAAACATGCAGCAGTACACATTCATACCTACTTTTCAGAACAGGTTAATCTCCCAGTGGTCAAACTGGCCTTCCCTTTTTATATAATAGTTAGCAAATATCTACTAAAAACGTAAGATCATCTCTACAATTTTATTTTACAAGTCAGATATATAAAACATATTTAAGCAAAATAAAATGTATTCAATGAAAATAAAAAGCCTTACTGGGCCCAAAAATCACTTTGGCTCTCAACCGAACACATCCTATATTCTTAGCCCAGTACTTGTTGCATGACGATAGAAGACTCAGAGGACATGTTTATTTATTTGTTCAAAAATCATTTAAGTCCTTACTTGGTGCTTCATTTTACTTCTATCTAAAGCAGGAATACAAAAGTACCAACCTGGTAAAGTGATCATAAAGATTAACTAGTACATGAAAGTGTTTAGAACAGTCCCTCCCATTTAGTGCAAGTTCAATAAATGTTGCTGTTATTTTTTTTAATTTTTATTATTACCTCTGTTGGCTGGAATAATATGTAACAGTAATAGTAGGAATAATAATATTGTTATTACCGTGAGTGGGAGTCACTGAAAGGCTTACAGAGAAAGTAAGAAATGAGAACACTGGAAGAATCTGAGGTAAGCAGAGTGAAGAAGAACAGCATTCGGGTTAGAGTAGGGGAAGTCACCAAGGCAGGAATGGAATTTAGTGTATGCGAGAAATCATGCAGGAGAAAGTGTGACTGTAGCAAAGATTTAAACCAGCAAATAATGAGAGACAAGGTACTGTTACGATGGTTGCATAAAGTTCCCGAACTTTCCTAGGTTTGGAAAGCCTCAGTTTCCTCACCTATAAAATAAGGATAATTACGGCAACTGTATCACAGGCATTCTGTGAGGATTAAAGAACATATTATGCTTATGGTGTTTTTCATAGTGTTTGGTATATAATAAGTACTCATTAAATGTTAACAATAATAAAAAGAATTATAATAATATTTACAAAAACCTCTCACCAGGGTAGATAATTCACTCTCCTTAGATTGTGGACTAATCTCTCGGTCTTCATTAAAATAGTGCTGCTGGGAAGGATAACCCAGTTCCGTCAGGACCACATCCTCTGGCCCTGCACTGGATTTGGTATATAAAGCTAAAGGGTTGAGTTCTCTGAAACCCTGGGATTAAAAAAAGAAGGAAGGGTTTAATTACTTAGAGAAAAAGTGAAAAAGTTAGCACTTCATAATTTTCAAATGTTGTAGGAATGTATTATCTTCTAAAATTTAAAATTTTAGAAAATTTAAAACATTTTCCATATTGACAATTTTTCCTAGTCACAAAAATATCAACATCAATATTAACAGTGATGCAGACATCACCATCAATATTTGCAAAACAAGAGTGTTGTCTTCTCTAAGAAGACCTCAAAGAAATGATTTGAGGTAAGACAGAATCTCAACTCTATTACTTAAAAGTATTCACACTCTCATCAGCCAAAGGTAGTTTTTTGTGGTCATTTGAAAATTAAGAGAGTGCTCTGCATTAAGAAGGCAGGCATCTCATAAATGTCTCTAAGATTAAAGAGTACATCAAATAACCTTCTCTATTAAATTATCTTACACCTTGAAGTGTTCAGAGTAAATAAAATATATTACAGAACACATCCAGACAGCTCCACCTTAGAAGGGACATTTTCTCGGCATACAATAGCATGGCCCTCCGTTCTCAAGACATGATGGAAATAGATGTCTTCATGTGAGGATGTATCACACAGAAAAATGTTAAGGATTCCGTCTACATATTCATCTACTACCCCCACTAATGGCTTCAAACCACACAACTTCTGGAACTGCAAAATAGCTCTGGACGTCCAATGTTCCTGAAATGTAATCAAAACATGAGATTCAGATGATAAATTCAAACATGGATTATAGTAACCACATATAAAAATAAACTCCTGATGAACTAGAGATTTTCATAGAAAAATAAAACCATAAAAGTAGAGCGCTTGGGTGGCTCAGCTGATTAAGAGACTGCCTTGGGCTCAGGTCATGATCCTGGAGTCCCAGGATCAAGTCCTGCATCAGGCTCCCTGCTCAGCGGGGAATCTGCTTCTCCCTCTGACCCTACGCCCTCTTGTTCTCTCTCTCTCTCTCAGTCTCTCTCTCAAATAAATAAAATTTTTTTAAAAATTAAAAAAAAAAACATAAAAGTGCTAGAATTATACACTGTAGGATATTTATGATTTGGGGATAAGTAAAGTCAGAATAAAGGAAAAATTATGAAAAATGTGATTATGGAAAAAACTTTATTATTTATGTGGTGAAAAACTTTCATTTTCAGAAATGACTAAGCTAAATTATTGGACTAATCCTTCTACAGAAACCACTAAAATTCTGGATAAAATATTTTTTAGGTATGTCCAAAAGCATCAAAGAACTGTCAAGAGAGTAACAAATTATCAGGAGAGAATTAAAGGGAAAGTGGGAAATATTTTGCCTTAAAAAGGAAAAGAGGGGCACCAGGACGGCTCAGTCAGTTAAGCGTCTGCCTTCAGCACAGGTCATGATCCCAGGGTCCTGGGATCAAGCCCCTCGGGCTTCCTGCTCAGCAGGGAGCCTGCTTCTCCCTCTGCCCCTCCCCCTGCTTGTGCTCGCTCTCTCTCTCTCAAATAAATAAAATCTTTAAAAAAAAAAAAAAAAAAGGAAAAGAAAGAAGCTAGCCTTCACGTGGATTTGCAGTTCAATTTTCACATCACCGGATAGTACACAAATCCTCAAGTTGTTCATTTAAATTAATGTGGTTCCAGACTGGGAGTATTCCTAGGTACCTGGCAGAAGCGAATGCAAATCTCTCTAGAGGTAGGCAATCTTAGCCCATATTATTCAAACATTCTTACAAATAATTTTTCACAGACAATGAATAGTATATAGGCAAAGATAAAAGGCATACAAAGAAACAACTAATCACAAGTAAGAACAAGGAGAAACAACATAAACAAACCAACTTTCAAAAACTTTCTAGACAATTATAAAGCAACTAAACTTACTACACTTAAAAACAAAAAAAGATTAATTTGAAAGCTTCTGCAGAGATCAGCAATCTATAAAAATTCATCTAGCAAAATTACAAAACAAAGAGAATTTTTAGAGAGTAAAAATACAATAACCAAAACTTAAAACCTAAAAGACTGATTCAGTAGGTTAGACAGAGAGTAAACCAGTAAAGTGGAAGATACCCAGAATGCAATATGGAAAGAGAGAAATATGTAAAATACAGAAAAATACAGAGTTTTAAAAATATGGAAGATAAATTGAGAAAGTTTAACATACTTTTAATTGTGGTCCCAGAAAAAGAGATGCAGAAACAGAGACAGAGGGAATATAAATATGAATAATGGGGGGAAAACAATAATAATTGAAGAGATAATGGCTGGGAATTTGCCGGATTTAATATAAAGTAACAAAAGAGAGTTCAAGGAACCACAAAGTATGATAAATAAGAATAAATCCACACATAAACATACTAAAACTGAAGACACAAGCCACAAACAGGAAATGCTAGAAACAGCTACAGACAAAAAGGACACTGCCTTCAAAGGAACATCCATCAGACTGACAGCTGACTTCTCCAATACGGTAAGGGAGACCAGAAGCCACTATAATAATATCTTCAGTGCACTAAACATATTACCTGCCAACCTAAAATTCTAGTGAATGTATCTTCCAAAAAATAAAGGCAAAATTATGTGTCCAGGTAAACATGAGTTTGGCTATCAGCAAACCCTCACAAAATGAAATCTTAAAGGATACGTTCAAATAAAAGGAAAATGTTCTCAAGGGGTTTGAGTGGCCAGAATGAAGAGCTAAGAAATTGAGAAATACATGACTAAATCTAAGTGAACATTATTTTATGTGGTCCATTTCTTGAGGGGTTTAAAACAACAACAATTATATAACAAAAATAGATTAGAAGAGGAAGTTAAAGAAGAAAGCATTCTGTCTTTGCATTGTTATTTACAAGTGTTGTATTTCCTAGAATAATCCCTAAAATAATAGAGTGTGTTAGTGGAATGATTAAAAAACTTCAAAATAATGCATGCAAGGTGACAAAAAGAAAGAATAGGTAAGCCAGTGATGTTTCACTAGGGCCACTGGGTTCTCCTAATGCCTGCAGAGTTTAGGAGTCATCTAAGGATTTGGGCAGATGGCAAGTCACTGATTTTGAAACACCAATTCTGTGGCTCCCTCCCTTCAAGTATTTCTCCCTTAACTCCTAGCTGTTCTGCCAGTCCCAAACAACGTCCTCTAACTTTTCAAGCCGGCAAGGCTATAGACAGGGGAGTGACCCCAGGATAGAAGCTGAAAATTTCCTGATCTTACCACCCTGCAGCTTGACTCCCAAGGGTAGATTTCTGCTTTTCTGCCTGATTTGGATTTTGCCTATGGGAGTATTAGTCCCACCATGCTACTCTATTGTTACTCTGCCATTACCAAATGCGTTAACTACTTTTGAAACCAGAAAAAAGGACAAAAAGTTGAGATTCATTCATTCAGTTGAAGACCCTTATTAAGCACCTACAATGATGCAACCATTGATCTAGGCACTAGAGATACAGTGGTGAACAGACAATGCCCCTCATCTCAGAAGCTTACACTGTGTGTGTGAACAAATAATTACAATAATACCAGATAACAGTGTTATAAAGATAAATTGCAATGAATGACTGAAGTGGAAGTGTGTACTTTAAATTGGCTGGTCAAGGAAGTCCTTCTTGGGAAATAACATTTGGGCTTAAATCTGAGTGACAAAAAGGGGCCAACCATGAGAATGCTTTGAACAAGCTACTCCAAGGAAGAGAGAGGGCAAAAGCCCTAAGGTCAGAAGCATTTCAGGAAGGAAATAAGAAAACAAAAAAAGATACAAAAATGGTAGCCATCTGGCTAATATGAGAATAATGAACATTGGCTCCAAGTGGGTCACAACTTTAGCCCTGAGCTTCCTCATGGAAGAAAAAAACCAAGGCTAAAATGCACCCTAAAAAACAATCCCAAATACTGACTTGCACAAAGACTAACTGCATACATTATTTATATACTCAAAAATCAGAACAGATTGAATGTCTAACAATAAGGGGATAGTTAATCAATCTATGATATACATTTACCTAACAGATTACTATGAATCTATTAAAACTGAAAACAAGGTAACATAATTTATGCTGTAATAAGCTGAGTTAAGAATATAAAATAATATTACTCTTTTATGTAATCCTGAAAACCCTACAAAAACTCTGACCCCCAACATCCAGTAAACTAAACTGAAACACACATCAAAGTTCTAAATTGAATGTGTTTGAAAAGTAGAATAATAGTAATGTTTTTTTTTTCTTCTGTACTGTGTTTTTCAGATAAATTTTTTTAAAGGAATAATCCGTGTAATATGCAAGCAACTGGTACGTTAAGAAAAATGTAGTATAGTGTGCACGGCATATATAATTAAGAGTTTTGGGGCGCCTGAGTGGTTCAGTGGGTTAATCATCTGCCTTTGGCTCAGGTCATGATCCCAGGGTCCTGGGATTGAGTCCCACATCAGGCTCCCTGCTCAGCAGGGAGCCTGCTTCTTCCTCTCCCTCTGCCTGCCACTCCCCCTGTGCATGCTCTCTCTCTCTCTCAAATAAATCTTAAAAAAAGAGTTCTGAGGGAAAAACACAAAGTTAGGTGCATGATATTCATAACTACATAAACAAATGTATCTAAATGGATGGAAATGCCTCCTGCATGCAAGCTGGTGCAGCCACTCTGGAAAACCATATGGAGGATCCTCAAAAAGTTGAAAATAGAGCTACCCTATGACCCAGCAATTGCATTACTGGGTATTTACCCCAAAGATACAAATGTAGTGATCCGAAGGGGCACCTGCACCCCAATGTTTATAGCAGCAATGTCTACAATAGCCAAACTACGGAAAGAGCCTAGATGTCCATCAACAGTGAATGGATAACAAAGAAGTGGTATACACACACACACACACACAGGAATATTATGCAGCCATCAAAAAATGAAATCTTGCCATTTGCAACGACGTGGATCGAACTAGAGGGTATTATACTAAGCGAAATAAGTCAATCAGAGAAAAACAAGTATCATATGATCTCACTGATATGAGGAATTGAGAAACAAGACAGAGGATCATAGGGGAAAGGAGGGAAAAATGAAACAAGACGAAACCAGAGAGGAAGACAAACCATAAGAGACTCTTAATCTCAGGAAACAAACTGAGGGTTGCTGGAGTGAGGGGGTGGGAGGGATGGGGTGACTGGGTGATAGACACTGGGGAGGGTATGTGCTATGGTGAGCGCTGTGAATTGTGTAAGACTGCTGAATCACAGACCTGTACCTCTGAAACAAATAACACAATATATGTTAATTTAAAAAAATGCCTCTTGCTTCATCCCACTCCAGTCATCTCACACAACTGTTACTAGAGAATTCTTTAAAAACATATAACTGAGTATGGTGGTCCCCTAGGTATGTCCTTTAGTTGCTCCCCAGCATCTAAAGGACAAGGTCCAGACTCCTGAACACGGATACGGATCCCCATTCAGGGTCCTGTCTGTTTCTCTCACATCACTTCCATCCACCAACTCCAGCTCATCTGCTGCCATGTAAGCAAACTGAGCCACTTATCATTTCTCAAATTTTAGATGTTTTATGTTACCCTCCCTTTGGCTGGAACAGCTTTCTTTTTTTTGTCTAGTTACAGTCCTAATCTTCCTTCGAAGTTCCACTCCAATGCCACCTCGACCACAGGGACATCCCTGACTACCCTCAACAGAGAAGTGCACTCCTCCTTCTGCACCTCTAGCATACCCCATAAATAGCTCTACAGCAAATACAACACAGCACACTGACTTCTGTCTCCACGTCTATCTTCCAGACTATCTACAGTGATTTCTCATCGTAGGGCTCATTCCATGTTTTATTTTTGTATCCTGAGATCCTAGAACTGTTCTAAGTATCAAACATTTGCTGATTAAATGGGGAACAAACATACCTCTACTGGTCTCACCCAAGCTAAAGAACAAGGGATAGCCTGAGCTGGAAGCTTTGTGTAGCAGCACCTGCAAGAGATGATCAAATACACAAATATGTAATCATATTTTTAAGTGCATTTTATGGAATCTCTAATCCGTTCTTGATTTGAGCTATTCACACCACTTGAGAGTATTTTATTCATGGATTTTTAAGTTAATGTCTTACACTTTGAAGCAATCTAAGAAGTAAAATCTTTAGACATAATTATCTTTGAAAACCATGCAATTAAAATAGAGGTAGGAACAAACCAACCCTCATGCTATATAAATGCAACTCTTAGCATGACCCAAAAAATCATTTTCTTAATTAAGAGACTGGAATTTAGTCTCATGGTCCATTCAGATTCATAATCATGTGAAAGACGACATAGGAGACTATAATCTCCCTGTGAAACTAAGGAACCGTATGCCAAGTCCATTTGCACTAAGAACAAAGAGGGAAGGATGGAGTGAGGAAGGCAAGAGAAAAGGAAGAGTGATCCTAACTCCATGTGGCTTCAACGCAAGGACTCAAAACTTAAGAATAATTTAGTAAGATTTGTTAACTCACTTGAGGAACCTCAGGGAGGACTTCTGAACAGTTCCAATATTTCCAAAGTCTGGGTAGAATACTTCAACTTCCTGCTTCCCAAGGACTCGATGGATAATGACCCGATACCACCACTTATCCTCAGAAATCCTTACACAACAGAGATGTCCTGGTTGGATGAAATACTCTGGCATGGAGTACCGATCAGAAACCAGCAGATTGGAATAGCAGCGCCTACAGAATTCCGTAATAGAGGGAATCACATAGGGGAAGAAAATACCGACATCATTTTTACTGATGTATCAAGAGCAAGAAAGTCTTGGCAAAAAGGAAAAGAATCCCCACTTTTTCTGATTTGTAAATGCTTATTACTATTATTTTCCTCTTTCTTACCCAAATCCCTTCTCTTCATCAACAAACTTCTTCAAATAGAAAGTCACACATTCATTTAAGCTCATACTCTCTAAACAAAATGTAATCCAACTTTATTCCTCAGCATTTCCTAAAATGGGCATTTTTAAGACATCAGTGGCCTGTTAATTCTCTGCAGCATGACCCTGACCCCGTCCTCTTTCAATCTCTATCCTAGTTTCCAAGACACTATTTTCTCCTAATTCTTCCCTGTCAATAATTGTTCCTATACTGGCTCTGTAATTGCCTTAAACGTCTGGGTTCTCTGGGCTCCTCTTTTTAGGAAGTATACAATAATAAAAGCTCAGGCTTTGGAGCCAATGACATGGGCTCAAATCCTGACTCCATCATTTACTAGCCATGTATCTTTGTCTTTCTGTGCTTCAGTTTACTTGTTGCGCATGGAGAGGATAATAAAACCTTAGTTCAAATATGTGAATGTTTGGCACAGAGTCCAAATACAGTAGGCACTCCTCAACTATTAATATTCTTGCTGTACACAGTACCATCTCCCCCATTTTCATGTCTTATACCACTATGGATAAACTGGTGATTCTCCACCTGGATCTTTAGACGCTGAATCGCTTCTGAACTTTGAAAATTTATTTCCAGCTATACGGAAAAGATGCTAGTTGTCCCCCAATTCTCATTCTCCTCTCTTCTTCCCCTAGTAAGAGAATCCCAAATTTTGCCTGAGTATATAGCCATTCAGATTTCCCAGGCTCCCTTACATCTGGATGTGAATACTAAGCTCTGGGCAATGAGATGTGAGAAAAAGTAGAGTGTGCATGATTAGGATGGTAAATTTTATGTGTATTCTATCACAAAAAAAAAGTCAAGTATAGGGGGGTGGGGGGATCGGTTAGCCTGGTGATGGGTATTAAAGAGGGCACGTACAGCATGGAGCGCTGGGTTATACACAAACAATGAATCATGGAACACTACATCAAAAACTAACGATGTAATGTATGGTGATTAACATAATAAAATTTTAAAAAATGAAAAAAAAATAAGAAAATAAATAAGAGTACATTTCTCCGGGGCGGGGGGGGAAGTCAAGTACAGAAATTTCAGCTCTTGTCTTTCAAGAAAATGGCATGCCTCCAACCTCCTACCTTCTTCTCTTTCTCCTTCCCACTGGCTAGAATGAGGAGCTGCTGGGTGTGGTGGCGAGCTACCTCCTGGACCATGAAGATGGGGGCAACACACTGTCTGCGACAGCAAGACAAGAAACACTTGCATCCCCAACACCATGGAGCTACCCTATTAGTCTGTAGTGTTTATATATGGACTACTAGGGGCAGAAGAAATCAACTTTTATCTTCTTTATGCTACTATGGCTAAGTTATGTCTTTGTAACAGTGGCTAAACCTAATCCTAACTAATATTGTCCACTCAACATTGTCAATTCCCTATACCTCATCGTCACCTTAGAGGCACCACGTGCAAACTTCTAACCCCAGCTCAAACCTACCCAATCTCTAAAGTCAACACAGGTTTCCTATTCTCCCTTTCTCCCCTATCCTTCCCAAACCCATGCTTGTCACCACGACCTGACAACTGTACTTTCCCAAATTCTCTCCAATTTCTCTCTCCCTTTCCACTCTCATGCTCTTACCAAGACTAGCATAGTAATGGATGCTCTCCTGTTCACTCCACCCACCTTCTGCACTGAAACCAGAGTTATCCTGAAATACAAACCTGCTGATGCCCCTACTTTCTAAAAACCGTCAGAGGCTCCTCGTTGTCCACAGAAGAAGTCAGAATTCCTTCCCATGGTGTTCATACTCCAGCTCTTCCCTAGTATTCCAGTTTCACATTCAGTCACTGTCCACCCAAGCTCATGCAGTGGTGACCTCACTGCCCTATTTGTTGCTCCCAGAGCACAGCGCTACTCCCGTCATTAATGCTAATGCTGGCCTCAGTGCCCGTGACTGGACCTGCACATTCACACTCACACCTTGACTGGCAAATTCTTACTAGTTTTTTAAGCCGAGCTCAAGTACCCGCTTTGTGAAGCTCTCTTCCATCTTGCCCAGGCAGAATGACCACCTCATGCAATACCCCACATATCCCCTATCTTCCCAGATAATCGTGGTGTTGACAAAGGAAAGACCATGTCTGTCTTCTCCTTGTACTCCTCATGCCTCAACATCCCAAGCACGCAGCAGATATGGTATTGATAACAACAGTAGCCAACTTTTGTGCTAGCCTCCATTCTAAGTACTTTAATCGTCACAACTCTGTGAGGCAGGTACTATTAGTATCCCTACTTTGGAGATAAGGAGACTAGGCCTATAGAGTTAAAGTAAGGAAGATCACAAATCCAGTAAGTGTGCTTTAAAACATGTACTAAATCTTACAGGCATCCTGGAATGGAATATATAGGATATATATATGATATATGATAATATTTTTACTAAGTGATTATTATGTGACCTACATTATGCCAAGTGTTCTTGGGTGAGAGAGGAGTGGAGTATATAATGTGGTAAAATTAGATTAAAAAGTGGAATGCTCTTGGAGAAGTATGTAATAAATTATTCTTATATGTGACACCTATGTAAAAACCAGACACTGTTGTTCATGAATAAATCTTAAGTGACTGCAAATGTACACATTTTTCATGGTGTTTACTAAGAAAGGGCATCATTTTTCAGCAGAGAAAAGAGATTAGAGTAGTAGTAGTTGAGTGAAATAGTGATTTGCCCTTTTCACTGTGTTAACAACACTTGCAACGATGGTATAAAAGCAAGGGGCCTTAGCCAAATCAAGACAGTGGCACCAAACTTTACTAGCCATCATTTATATATCACTGTCACGCACTCACAATTAAAAGAAAAAAGAAAAAAAAGCCAATGTAACTTGATAAAGTAATAAAAATTAAGTTTATTAAATATCAACCACTGAGTGACCATCTTTTCAATATTCCGTGTGACAAAAATGGAAGTACTATACACATAAAAACACTTCTCAAGTTGTCTTAAGGAAAAGCACTTATGCACTTGAGTTGTGAATTGAACTAGCTGCTTTTTTTGTGGAACATTTTTACTTGGAAAATGAACTAGCCATTGTTCTCATGGAACACTGTTTTTGCTCGAAAGGACCGTTATCAAACTATGTTTATTCAGACTTAGGTTTCTGACACACATTTTCTCAAAAATGAGATGAGCCTGTCACTTCAAGGAAAACACTGACAGTATTTGTCATCACAGATAAAATTTAAGGCTTTCAAGTGAAAATTAGGATTTTGGAAATGTTGCATCTACCACCATGAGCTTGACAGCTCCCTAATACGTAATACTTTTCTGATGAGATCAGTGGTGATATTAATAAATGTGGAAGATCTACATAACTCAATAAACCAGTGTTTTCCAAAATACCACTGCATGATGTTTTAACATTATTAATGGGGGTAAAAGATCCTTTCAGGGCCAGTTGTATTGAGTCCACACTTAGAAGGGCCTTACGCTTGCTTTAATGTTCTGCTATTGCTGTCCTGAAATTCTTAATGATTTTTAAACTCAGCACTTTGCATTTTAATTTTGCACTGGAGCCTGCAATTGCATAACCAGTCCTGGGTTCATTCAAAGTGCAAAGGAAGACCAATGGACTTTAACACAGTAGGGTATGAAAAGTTCAAATTCCACACTGCAACTAATTTTTAAAAAATCACCACTTGCCAAGTTTGGAATGTTCAAAAATTTTCTGAAAATATCAAAGAAGATTCACAATTTTCTGAAAAGGCTATTAAAATACTCTTTTTCCCAACTATGTATCTGTGTGAGGCCAGATGTTTTCATATACTTCAACCAAAACAATATACCTCAAGAGATTAAAGACAAAAGCAGATATTAAAATCAAACTTTCTTCTATTAAGACAGATATTAAAGAGATCTGCAAAAATGTAGAACAATGCCAATATTGTAATTTCTGGAAAATAGTTATTTTTCACAGAACTATGTTATTTATATTCACACAAATGGACTTACCATTATTTTTAAACAAAAAAAAAATTTAAATGTTAGTTTTAATGTCTAAGATAAATATCAATAAGCAAAAGTTTTCCAGTCCTTAATTTTTAAAAGCCCTAAAACCAAAATGTTGAGAACTTATGATTTAGAATGAGATACATGAAAAATACACTGAAAACAATAGGCTCCTACCGCATCTCAATCATCATGTCTTCAAGTAACTCGGATGAATCCCTGCTATAGATTCGGATGTAGAATTGACTAGGAGAGATGATATACTCCACAAAGACCCCCACAAGGGTACTGGTATCTAATGGTGGCAGTCTGCATAATTTCTTGTCCCGTACAGCATCTGGTGGGATATCATGATTGGCCACTGCCAGGTTGAGCTGTGACTTGTTAACTTCTACTTGCTACAAGTTAAAAAAGAAAAGAAACCACTATAAAACTTTGAGTGGCATTTCAAACTATGACATTTCTCAAAGTATATTTCATGGGTCATCTTTATCAGAATCACCTGAGAAATTATAAAAATGAAGCTTCTTAGGCATTAGCCAGGACTTACTGATCCAGAATACCTGGAAGTGGGGCTTCCAGTTATGCACTTAAAAAATTCCCTAGGTGGGCACCTGGGTGGCTCAGTCAGTTAAGCGTCTGCCTTAGGCTCAGGTCATGATCCCAGGGTGTTGGGATCGAGTCCTGAGTCTGGCTCCCTGCTCCTCGGGGAGCCTGCTTCTCCCTCTCCCTCTGCCTGCCGCTCCCCCTGCTTGTGCTTTCTATCAAATAAATAAAATCTTTTAAAAAAATTCCCTAGGTGATCCTTACCTACATTAATATATGAAAATGACTGCCTTATGATATTAAGAGTATGTTATATAGCTACCCCATACAAAATTGCAAATATGGTACTTAAAATATTCAAGCTGAGCCAAGATAGACTGTCATCCCACCCAACTCTATCAACAAAGGTAACTTTAAAGAATGCATTAAATTTCACACTAGTCTTCCAACCAAAAATAGGGTTTCTCAAACACTCTTATTCTAAAATATCTTATTTTCCTTTAGGCCTTTCTCTTATCCTCTAGAAAATATGCAGTAGGCTTTCCAAACAAAATGTTTTCCTTCCATGAAAGAAGCCAGGTATAGATGGTAGAAGAAAAGAAGAGTAAGCAATTAATTCCTTAACAACAACAAAATAAATAACAGAAGAGGAGAGCACAAAAAAGGAGAACTGTGTGGACATATAATGAAAAAGAAAAAAGGAAAAGCACCCTATAGTTGAGGACAGGTGCAGGGCAATCTGCAGCAGTTGTTGAGACATAAAGTGAAAAAAAGCTCCTCAATTCTTCCCTCTGAAGCCCTCAAGGGTTTTCCAGCCTACATTTTAAAAAACATGGACCAAGTATTGGCTATAACCTCTTGCAAAAGCTGGCAAATCTTCAAAGCCATCTGAAAACTTTAAAATGAGATCTGAATGAAATCAGTTATACAAAAGATTGAAAACCAGAATAAATGCTGCATAAGGTGACTTCAGACCAAAGCTTTGCTCTAAGAAATCATGTATCTAGAAATAAGACTTTTCTAAAATAGAATTTTGGTTTGAAGAAATATTCATTCAGTTACTTTTCATAATGCTGAATCTCCAGCATACAAAGTCGTTAAACCTTACCAGCTGTAAAGGCTTTACCACCAGATTAGGCTTCTTGCAAATCTTCTGTTCTGGCTCCTTATGGTTTTTAGGAGGACAATCCCAGGCAGTCTCCTCGACAGCAGCAGTAGACAGTGAATTTCTAGGGGGACTGGAGACATAAGCTTTGACTTCTATTTTCTTATCCGATTGAACTAAACATGAATTTCTGACTGATGAAATATCTCCATCTGAAATGATCAATAGAGTAGCCTGTGGATAGCTATTACAATAATTTGTATAACTTATTAAGCACATTTCTATGGGCCAGGCACTGGGAAAATAATGATAAATGAGAGACATGAATCCTTTGCAGACCTTTCAGTATAGAGAGATAAAAGGAAGTTCTAGAAGGGAACAAATCTTTATTTATGTTGGCAAGGGAGAGGGTAAGTCTGGTAAGGTTTCTTGAACTTTGACTAAAGGTTTTATTTTTCAACATCCTGACTTCAATTTATTTTTTGTTCAACTTTAGCAGTGAAAGTGCACTGTTGCTTAATGTACAATGTATGTGACTACTTAATATTCCATAATACAGTGCCTTAATTTTTAGGGAATTACCAAATCAATTACATATTTTGTTCAAATTACATGTGTATGATGATTATAAGAGGTTGCCACATTAAAACAGACTCCAGATAGACCTAAAGCCATAGTGGCTCCTAAAGAAAAACTAATAAAAGTGCACAAAGATGTAGGTATCTACATCTGTATCTTTCATAATGATAAAAAATAAATACACTCTACATGTCTGTCAATAGGAGACTGATTAAATGAATGTAGTCACATAAAAGAATTATATGTAGTTAAAAAGGATGAAATAAACTTATTTATGCTGATATAGAACATCCATAATATGTGAGGTATAAAAAGCAAGAACATACACATTTTTTTTTAAGATTTTTTTTTATTTATTCATGAGAGACAGAGAGAGAGGCAGAGGCAGAGGGAGAAGCAGGATCCCCGCGGAGCAGGGAGCCCGATGCGGGACTTGATCCCAGAATCCTGGGATCATGACCTGAGCCGAAGGCAGACGCTTAACCGACTGAGCCAACCAGGCATCCCAAGAACATATACATTTATATAATACTGTTTTGTGCAAGAAAATTATACATATAATAACTATGTTATATATAAAAGGTCCAAAAAAGACCCATTAAAACAATTACTAGTTACCATTCTACATTGCTGGAATTGTTTAATAAGTAAATGTTTTATAAGTTTTTAAAAATCTAGCAATGCTTACATATATGTTGAAAAAAAATCTGGAAGACTAAAAATTCTAACAGCATTTTTGGGGGAACTAAAATGATGGTAATTGTTCACTTCCAACTTTCTACTCATCTGTGATATTTTCCAAAATGAACATGAGTTATTTTAATAATCAGAAAAATCAGCAAAGATACATTTACATTTTGGACAAAAAATTGCTATCCATCGAAACCACTTGTAAAAGCTTATAAAAATATAGGGGTGCTTGGGTGGCTCAGTCATTGGGCATCTGTCTCCAGCTCAGGTCATGATCCCAGGGTCCTGGGATCGAGCCCCGCATCAAGCTACCTGCTCTGTGGGAGGCCTGATTCTCCCTCTCCCATTCTCCCTGCTTGTGTTCCTTCTCTCGCTGTCTCTCTGTCAAATAAATAAATAAAATCTTAAAAAAAAAAAAAAGCTTATAAAAATATAAATACAGTTGACCCTTGAATAATGCAGGGGTTAGAGACATCACCTCCCCATGCCGTCAAAAATCTGCATATAACTTTTGATTCCCCAAAAACTTTACTAATAGCCTACTGCTGACCAAAAGCCTTACGGTAACATAAACAGTTGGTTAACATATATTTTGTATGTCATATATATCATATACTGTATTCTTATAATAAAGCTGAAGAAAAAATGTTAAAAAAAAATTATAAGGAAGAGAAATTACATTTACAGTACTATACTGATTTTACCAAAAATTATCCATATATAAGTGGACCTATCCAGTTCAAACCCATGTTGTTCAAGGGTCAACTGAACTATATTATACTATAATTTAGCATGACCATTGAGGGAATGGAGGAAAAAGTACATGGAATCTCTCTGCATTTGTCTGTAGTAACTGTATATAAATATATAATACCCTCAATAAAAATTTCAAAAGAAAAAAAACCTAAGTCAAAAGAAAAACACAAAAAACAAACAAAAATCAAGTGCCCTAAATGCAATGTGGTATCCTGGAGTGGATCCAGAAATAGAACAATTATGGGAAAAATGGTAAAACCAAAATAAAATCTAGAGTTTCATTAATAGTAATGTATCAGTTAATTTCTTAGTTTTGATATATGTATCATGGTAATATAAGATGTTAATATTAGGGGATATGGATGAGGGCATATGAGAATTCATTAATATCTCTGCAACTTTTCTATAAACCTAAAATTATCCCCAAATAAAAAGTTTGTTTAAAAATAAATACAAGTGCTAGGTCCCAATACACACCCATTTATTCCGAATATCCATGTATTTCTAAAAAGCTTTAATGCACAGCCAGAGTTAAAAACCACTGATCTGGTGCTTCCCCATCAGATCACTATTTTAGAAAATTTATTTCTTCAGAGTTATCCAAATATCTGGATAATGAAGAAAGTATATTTTAAAAATTCAGATGGTCTTTGGGGCGCCTGGGTGGCTCAGGTGGTTAAGCATCCGACTCTTCGTTTCTGCTCAGGTCATGATCTCAGGGTTGTAGGATCAAGCCCTAAGTCAGGCTCTGTGCTCAGCTCAGAGTCTGCCTTCTCTCCCGCCCTCCCTCTACCCCTCCCCACACTGGCACACTCTGTCTCTCCCTCTTTCTCTCTCTAAAATAAATAAATAAATCCTAAAAAATAATTTAGATGGTCTTCATTAATGATACAGGTTAGCCTTACTACAACAAATATCACCAAAAAGAATGGTCATCATATCAAAGTGTTTTCAAGGCTAATGTGTAATCTGTTTGGTTGATGTGGTTACAATAAAGAATATTATGTAAGCAATGCTTTATTTTTCCTTGTCCTTTCAGGGACAAATAATAATCAGGTTTGCATCTTCCAGAACACTCCAGACCCATCCCCACTTTAGCTATAGACAATTCACTTGGGCACCCACTATGCAGAACACTCCAAGAACCCCCAGCCCACACTCACTTCAGCTCCAGTTGTACCTCCAGGACATACTGTGCATGGAGAGCACCAGAATCCTCTACTCTGTACCCACTTCAGCTCCAGCCATCACACCAGAGTGGTCCTAAAGCAAGTGCCCTGGGACATCCAGCCTGCACCCACTAAAGCTCCAGCCAACCAACCAAAGCTGCCAGACACATACAGTCTATACAGGGGCTGTTCCTACACAAGGCAATTCCTTCAAGTCTAGAAGAAGTAGTTTTCCACCAAATTCATAGAAACAAACACAGAGAGTCAAACAAAATGAGGAGACAGAGAAATATGACCCATATGAAAGAATAAGACAAAACCTCAAAAAAGAACTAAACCAAATGGAAATAAACAACCTATCTGATAAAGAGTTCGCGATAATAATCATAAAGATGCTCACTTGACTTCCAGAGAAGAGTGCATGAACTCAGAGAAACTTCAACAAAGAGATAGATAATATTAAAAAGAACCAATCAAAGCTGAAGAATACAATAACTGAAATGCAAAATAGAGGAGAGGGAATCAACAGCAGATCAGAAGGTACAGAAGAATGAATCAGCGATCTAGAAAACAGGGTAATGGAAAGCACCCATGCTGAACAGAAAAAATATTTTTTCAGATGAGGGTAAGTTAAGGGATCTCTGAGACAATATCAGGCATTCTAACATTCACACTACAGGGGGTCCCAAAGAGAGAGAGAGAGAAGAGGGCAGAAAAATAACTTGAAAAAATAATAGCTGAAAACTTCTCTGACCTGGGTAAGAAAACAGACATCCAAGTCCAGGAATCACAAAAATCCCAAACAAGATGAATCCAAGGAGGTCCACACCAAGATACAAATTAGTTAAAATGTCAAAAATTAAAGGTAGAGAATCTAAAAATCAGCAAGAGAAAAGCAACATGTTACATACAAGGAAACCCGACAGGAGTATCAGCTGTGATGGGAATGGCATGATATATTCAGAGTGATGAAAGGAAAAAACCCTATAACCAAGAATACCCAGCAAAGTTATCATTCGGAATTTAAGAAGAAATAGTTTCCCAAGCAAACAAAAGTTAAAGGAGTTCATCACCACTATAGGAGACTTATGAGAAATGTTAAAGGGACTACTTTAAGTGGAAAAGAAGAGGCCATAATTAGAAAAAAAATTATGAAAAGAAAAAATTTCATGAGTAAAAGCAAACGTATAGTAAAGGTAGTAAATCAATCTCTTATAAAACTAATATAAAAGGTTAAAAGACAAACATAGTAAAATCAGTATCTAAAAAATTAGTTAAGGGCCAGGAAATAAAAAGATATGAAATATGACACTATACACACAAAACTTGGAAGGGGGGGGTAGTAAAAATTTTGTGTTTTTAGAATGTGTTCAAACTTCAGCAACCACAAACTTAAAATATAAAATAGACTGCTACATACATAGGATATTATATATGAACCTCATGGTAACCACAAAAACCTATAATAGATATGCAAAAAAAAGAGAACGGAATCCAGGCATAACACTAAAGAAAATATCGAATCACAAAGATAAAGCAAAAGAAGAAAGGAACAGAGAAGAACCATAAAAAGAACCAGAAAACAATTAACAAAATGGCATTAAATATATACTTATCAATAATTACTTTAAATGTAAATGCAGTAAAAGCTCCAGTCAAACGGCATAGGGTAACTGAATGGATTAAAAAAAAAAAAAAAAAACCCAAGACATCTATATGCTGCCTTACAAGAGACTCACTTCAGACCTAAAGACATATGCATACTGAAAGTAAAGGACTGGAAAAATATATACCATGCAAATGGAAGCAAAAAAAAAAAAAAAAAAAAAAAGCCAAGGTAGCAATATGACAGACAAAGTAGACTTTAAAACAAAAACTGTAACAAGAGACCAAGGCACTATATAATGATAAAGAGATCAATTCAACAAGAAAATATAACCCTTGTAAACATCTATGCACCCAACATAGGAACACCTGTATACATTAAGCAAATATTAGAAGACATAAAGGGAGAAATA